ACCCGGGGGGCTGAAAGCAAACGGCCGGGGGTGGGAGGGGAGAAAAGCACACGACTTCCTAAGATTGGTGAAATAGGGGTTGATTTAAACATGGGGGGGGGGGGGCGAAAAAACTAGGAGCCCTAGAACAATATAGAACAGTCCCCAGAGGCCCTTTCTCAAGGTGAGCCTTGCGCTCCGGGGTGTGAGCCTGAAGCAAATGCCTTTCGTAGGGAATCATTGAACATCAACTTCACGGGAGCTTTGCGGAGCTTGAACTTGACCTGAAGAGCATTTTCCCCGAGCTCGAATACATTGCCCCTCCAATTCAGTTTGCAGTATTCCAGGATCCTACCGTGCACACGACACGCTTGGGACTTGCCTCGTGTGGAATTTCTCCTTACCTTCGGTGTACCCGCGGACCCGTGCGACACGCACGAAAGCTCTCAGACTCTCGCAAACGCTGCTGTCAACCCGAACCCCTGGACTCAGATCCCCACACAGTTGGAAGAGAATCCTTCTGCTGTCGGAATCTGTCGGATTCGGAGCCTCGGGCTCATCCACAATGGGCGTAAAGAAGTCCAGAGTGCCAACGACGGCAATGTCATCGCTGACCTCTCACTTTCGAGAAGAGACATGCACTTCCCAAAGACTCTCATGCTCATGCTCTTTCTGGAGGTGCTGCACTGAGCACTGCCTGAGCCCATCCTGTCGCAAAGTCTTGCTCTGAGTCGAAGATTAAAGCGAGCAACCAATCCCGTCAGCTGCCGGGCACAGCAAGCACAAACCAAATGTGTCCGCGCCTTGTAAACGCACGCGTCCTCGTTCGATTTACCAAGGCCAGCTAGTACCTTGCATCTGGCAGAAGCCCATTTTGACAAGCTGATAACCACAGACTCAGATGATACTCTTTTGGATTGTTTGCGAATGGCATGTTCCCAAATGACGTTGCGGTCTCGTTGTTGTAGATTGTAGCATGTGGGGGAGGTTACAAGACACTGCAATCAAGCACCTGAAGTTCGAAAGCAAGTCATCAACACGGCAACAGCAAAAGGCGCCGCAAACGGAAACCCCATATGTGAGGGATCCACGTTCGGATCCTCGAGGCCGCCGGCTCCACAGGCCTCAAAGCGGCTTCTGCTAGGGGGCTGGGAGATCCCATCCAGGAGAAGGCCGTGAACCGCCGCCAGAATTGGGTGCGAGTGCCACGTTGAAGTGAGGCTGCCGGCCATTTTGTCTGTGAGTCTGCACCGTGTGACTTCAGTGAGACCGGTGCAAGCACGATCGCTTGCCGGGCTGAAGCCGCTGCCGTCCTATCTTAGTCTTTACCACATCAATAATAGATGTTGAAATGCAACAACATGTGCTGATGAAACCATGAGCAAGTTCCCAACATAACAACTTGGCTACCCGTGCAAAATGGACAGGCCACGGCGCGAAAGCAACCCAAATTGTGCTCACAGTCGCAGGATCGTCAAACGCTTCGCACACATGGCAAGACATTTTGCCTCCATGTGCCTTCCTCGAGCGACTTTCTCACAGGTCCTTCTGCTTGTCCTGCCTGATCAAAAAAGTTGCTTGACATCGACGTGCTGGAATTATCTTACAGCTTGCCCACTCCGGTCAAGCCCCAGGAGCCATGGCTGCATGCGACAAAAACCTCAGACCACCTGCTATCGACTTGGCCTCAATGCCGGCGCGACATGCCGCACCACCGCCATCCCAATGAAGCCTCAGCGAAGCGTGACGCGTGGCACTCTGCTGGTCATCGCTATTCTGTCGCTCTCTGCACGCACAAGCGACCGAGCGCCCCGAAGATGGTCAAATCGTCTCGCGTGCTCCTCAGCTCGGCGCAAAACCCGCGTCGAAAGATTCCGCGCATCTTTCTGGGCCCTGCGCCGCGCGGGCATGTCACGTGTGTACCTAAAGCCTACAGCCTTTTGTTGTAGAACAGCTCCAGGGACTTCGGGCTTCACACTTGCCCTGTTCGGCTCACATGTGCCCCTCTCATAGAAAGACGGTTACGTTTGGTCGCAGGATGGACCAATCAATGTAGACAAACCCAGGAATGTATTTCTGTCCCCGGCTGATTTGTCCGAAATGGATGAGGACGACTCGAGGCGGAAGCTCTGTCTATGAGCCTCCATGGGACATCAGAGGGTTGACCCTGGCTACTGGACAGCACTATCACAAGCACTTGTTCAAGGGCTACCTGGAGACTCGATTGTAACATTATGCTGCTCAGCATCGACTTCACGTGAGCCTCGAAGCCCTGCTGATCCACCAACTCCTGAACAGTTGCTGTTATCGAAACTGCAGAACCCTTCTCTGAAAGCCCACATTAACGAGCTCCGGAAACATCCAGACCCCATAGCAGGTTCGCGGTTCAGTCTTCGCAGGAGATTGCATACACTTGGTTGATCTATTCTTCGGCTGTCACCGACTTCATGCCGAAACTCTCCGACTTGCGATTAGTAAGCCTCGGATCTTTTCAACACTTGCACGGTCAGCTCCAACTGACAATTGATGAAGGCCTCCTTCATGATCCATCGAGAAGTGGTTTGGTTCTCGCCACTGCCTTCACGCTGCTTGGCAATTTGCCTCGTTGCAGCTCGCGTCGGGCATGGCTAGCTTTCACTAGATGTGCGTCCAATTCACGTGTCTGCTCGCGAAACGCAGCGTTCTTAAACGCGAGGTAGCTATTTTTTCAGAACGAGGCACCAGTACTTGGACTTCTCGTCGGCCTTGGCAACAAGCGCTCAAGAGATTTCAGACTCGGATTGAGCTGCATTCATAAACTGGCTTTCGGCTACGGGCTGGGAGAACATCAAACTAGCTCATTGACAAGCACAACTCTCTTGCTTTTGGCTTGCAGCAGAACCCCGCCTCCACGTGATCCATGTCTGGGGAATGATCAAAGCCTTGAGGTGCGTGGCGCACAACTTCGGCTCTCGTCTGAAATCGTCTGAATGATTAGTTAGCGGCAAGGTAGTCCTAAAACTTTGTTTCAAGGCACGACTCTGGACCTTCACTTCCAGGTGCGGGTAGCTGCACCTCGGTGGTTCGGTGCTGCTTCGCGCTTGCCCCCCGGGCGGCATCTCATCCTAAGTCCGCCGCTCGCGTGGATAAGCCTCATGCATCCATTGAGCGAAGAGGCGGCCGTGAATTGGCACCTCGGTGAATAACTGCGTGTCACAGGACTACCACTGGACACGAAAGCATGTTCACATCGCACACGAGGCCTCAAATACTGTGTTGAGAAAGGACAGGCCATGAGAGAAGTCTTGAAAGAACGAATGCTCTAATGACTCTAATGGAAGCAGGGCGTGGAGGGACCTCGAAGAGATCACTTGGAGTGACACGGACTTGGATGCGAGAGCCACAACAAACGCAAACAGCTTCAAGCCCACAAGTTCTCACACAATATCATCAGGATGATTCAAGCCTTTCAACCCCCAGTCTGAGACATAATGGACGAAGGCACCATGCCACCGTGGTGGCCGGCCACCTCATCGAGCAGCTGTGTGAGGTGAGGTGAGAGCCTCAGAAGCAGACTAGATGGAGAGGGAGCTCCGTTGATCTGAGGACTCTGACTGACGACAGCATGTTGACTGCAGGAAGAGGATTTACGATCAGTCTCCATGCACTACGCGCAAGCTTTTCTTGAGCGATCGTTTGGCCTGCCTGCCGTCCTACTAACATGTCAAGATTGTGAAGCTTATGCTGGCTGGTTACGTGCGGTTGGCCGGCTGCGAAGAGGAAGGCAGTCCGGAGACCTTAACTCGGCAGGGAGTTGTCGCCAAAGTGCGGGCGATTGCTGAGCAATCCGGCCAGCGATGCGATCTTCTCCGGAGTGCCTGAGACATCTGAGTTGCTCGACTTCGCCTAACTGCACACAGGTTTATTCTGCCAGCTTCCATAATACATTCGGACACGACGTGTCAATTCCGAAACTGTCAAAAGCCTCCCAACAAACCCGATGCGACTGTCCCCGAGCGAATAGACAAAAAAAACAAAGCAATTCCGAGAATGCCAAGGTGCCCATTGGTGCCTCGAGTCCCTCCTCGACCTGCCAACGCTGCAGGGAAACATCTTTGATTCTCTGCTTCCGCCACCCGGCAACTCTTTCCGTGAGCTGCTCTGCTCAGGGCTCGGGGTGTGGAATGGAACTGTGGTGCCAAGTTTACAAAAGCCTGCTCCCAAGCACCTAAGCTTTTTTGCGCTGCGTGTCGAGCCTGGTCCATCAACTGCTCACACTCGTCAAAGCAACCTGGGATAGCTCGAGGCATCGCACACCGAATGCTGAGCTTCCAATGAGTACTCGAGTGCAGCATCCCAGGACCGCTGACATCAGCCAGCCAAGCAGCAAATGCTGTAGTAGCCTGAGTGGCTACAACGCCGAATCAAGAGGAAAGGCTAGGAGCAAACATTCCTTGTGCCCGGCATTGACATCGTCGTCAACTCTCGAGAGCTCTGAGCAAGGAGCCTGAAGGCTGGACACAGTTCGACGGCCCAGCGAGGTAGTTCGGGATGATGACCTGCCCACGTGGGCTTCGAAGCTGGCCTTTCGGGGGCTTAGGGTGGCTTCGAATGCTACATAAGGGCGTGATTTTCCTCGAAAGACAGTTTCGGAGGAGCCAAACGAACCTTCGGGGAAGAGAATGAAAGTGTTCGGGGCTTCGAGACGGAACATAAGAAAGAGTTGCAGCTTCTTCACACATCTCTTCTTCTGTCACATGGTGACACCTACGCTTTTCTTACGGGCAGCTACAGACATCCGTCTGCGCCTTGTAAGACTACGGGACGGAAGAGAATTGAAATTGAAGTTTTTGAGGTGACGAGATCCAGAAACAGCACCCATCATGAGAACCGGCAGCCCACACCCTCCCACGCCACCAAAACTCCAGATTCTGAGCCGTCTTACCGTGGGCACGGGATCATGCTTCATCCGCTCAACTGCCAAGCCAGCGAAATAGCCGCAAGTAAAACTACAATAGCTCGATCTCGGATAGGACTTCATGTTACCCAACTGCTACAGCTTCTAACTGCTATAGCTTCTTGCATGAAACCAAAAGCTTCGAGCATGACCTGCAAATAGTTTGGGGTTTCGGAGTTCAGGGCTCAGAGGGAAAGCAACTGTAGCGATTTCCGGCAGTCTCGTTCGTCACTGTCACAACGTGAGTGGCGCCTTGGGGTCATCCGGGTTCGACTCGTCCAGAAGACCCGCACCGCGCAAGTAGGAAGGGCTCTCGGTGAAGTGGAAGTCAAACTGCCAAGGGCTCAAGGGGCTTCGTGCCCTGTCCCCTACACCGGGACCAGACCTTACGAAGAGCAAAGCCATGCATAAGAAGTGTGCCTTGTCGTTGCCATAGAAATCACCCAGGCCTCAAAGCCAGCGACTGCTTTGACAGAATGTTGGCACAGTGCCGGGCAACATCAAAAAAACTGCGAACAAGTAGCGAACAAGACCACTGCCCTCACGATGCTCCAATGAAGTCAACCTGTTCTTCATGACCTGCGGATGGTCTCAGCAAAGCATGTAATCGCATGCAATCTCGTGGCCGTATGACTGCACCGGCCTTGCATTCGGTGTCCTCCAGTGCGCCAAGACGTTGACCAAACTTGGACAGGATCTTCTGCAGGGTCTCAAAGTCCTCAAACAAGACCACTGAACTGTGAGTCTGTGAGACGCAGATGTCCTCAAGCGATCTGCACTACTCGGCTCTATCAGCCGTATTCCTGACTGCTTGCCAGCTGCTAACATGTCAAGCCGAGGCGCATAGGACGTCAAGTGTCCGGCAACCTCACCAGCAAGGTTGGGGATAGAAGGTCGGCCTTTTTTCCACTGTGAGCGAGAGATTCGTGACTGCCGTCGCTTCTTAACTACTGCACCCGCAATCCCAGACATGCAGTCAAGCAATAAGCTGCAGACAAATCCCATTCCACTAAGACGAGCTGAACTTACACAGGCATTGCATATGTTCATGTAGGAAGCTGGACCAAGACCAAGACACTTCGACAAGCTCAACAAGAATCTTGTTCGCTCTCTCGTCTTGCGAAGAATGTTTTAACCCAGGGCTTGTGCAGAAAATGGATAGTAATCGTCTGCAACTCACATCGCATGAAGGGTGAGACATAAGGTTCAACCCCTGAGCAAAGGCTACCAGAGGCGTTCTTTTCAACCCTGCCTCTGCTGCAATCACAGTCAGCAGTTCTTTGGCTTCTGTGTGGCGCGGAAACCTGCCAAATACTGCTGCTGTACTTCTTCTTATCTTGCCGTGCCATTGCCGAAGCACATCTCAGAGTGGGTACGTGGTTTATCTTTGGCCGCGCACCTGGTGGTGAAGTGCTCAAGGGCCTTGTGCACCTCTCCTTGAAGAGACGAACGATACTTTCCGTCTCACCGATCTTGCGCGCCGGATATGGGCACTCAGTCATCGTGTCACTACATTCCGGTCCTTCAGTGAGGCTCTCCACTTGCGGTCCAGTGATGAATGTTGCCACCTTGCAGTGCAGCCCCAAAGAGTCAAAAGTGAAACTACCAGGGCTCCCTATTGCAGTACCACCACTGCTACCAATGCATTACGAAAACGCGTGTTGCCTTGCCAAAGGTCAGTCCCTGAATCAACTGCCCTCATGAAACAGTCCCCGACATTAACCTTAACACCGCTCAGGAGCATAGGTCCACAAGACATTCTTCGCCTGGCCACGACGGCACAAAAACGGCGGAGTGTGGCAAAAAGATGCAAACACAGCAGTGTCGGGGGACTGCTAACATCGGACTCGGCAGCTGCGCAAAGCTCCCTAGTCAGCAGCCCATTCGAACGACGCTGCCCAGCTGACCTGGTTGTAGGTGATGAAGTCCTGCAGATGAGGAAGTGGAGCCAGCTCTGGTAAGAAACATCGGGATGGATACAACTCCGTCTGGAAGGCAACCCTGAAATTGTCTTGGCTTTCCCACACCCTGTGCTCGAACAAGCACCCCACCGGACCACGCCATTCCAGACAACAAGGGCGGATGGCTTTGAGAGCTCATCAAGCGTTGATTCTTGCAGACTCAAAGATGATGAGATGCACTTCGGCAAGCCGTTCTTACCCAGAGGCGTCCTCAGCTTTCAACGCCGAGGCCTTGTAAACGATTCGTAGCCGCTCCGCAACGTCTGTCTCGAACATCTTGTCCATCCTCGGTCGAGGTGCAAAAGAGCTTCGCTTGGCCTTGCCTTCAACGCTTGCCACCCGAGGGACGTCGCGGCCAGGATGGCGAGCTCGTGCAGTGTCATCCCATAGGACCCCAGGCGGTCCTGCTCAAGCTCCCGGAAATGTCCACTCAAGCTGGGATGCCCTCTGCTTAGATTCGTGACTGCATGTGTGTTTGTCTCATCATGTTCGCTAGGTTTTCCATCAGCAGGATGCAACTCGCAGCAGTGTGCCTCAACTCAACAACCTGTCTGACGAGCATTATGTAGGTATTTTCCGGCACGGACAGTGGCTCAGCAATTCAGGAAGTCCTCGAAGAGCTCACGCCTAGGCTTAAGCCATGCCGTAACACATCCGTCCAAGAGTTTGCCTCATGTCCGATTTGAATGAAGTAGTCCGGTTCAAGCCACATCTTCGGCGGCACCCGATCTCCCATCGCCGTAACAGGCGAATCTGCATCCCAGGCACCTGTGGGAGATTCAGATAGCAACTTCGATTAATTAATAGCATCTCAGCAGGCCTCCGGCGGTCTCAAGGCCTTTGATTTGCCAGCCGTGGCGCTGGTTGAACAGCCTCGCACGGTGTTGCCAGGCACTCACGTTTCACCCTGTGCTATCCCGTTTCATCCTGTTTCCGTCCTTCGTTCTAGACTGTCTCTCCACGGTTACTGTATGACTTGTAGTCAGCGCCTGTGAAGTGCATAGCGTGCAGATGGAGCTGCCACGGCGCCGCGACCGTTCTTTGGCAAAGCCTCCGATGTGAGATGAAAAATCAAAAAGAAAGTATTGGCAGCTGACGAGATAGGAGGTGTTGATGAACCGTGTTCACTCACACGTTGTCAAACGTAAACCGTACACCCACCCAAACGAGCTGAGCCCAAAGCCTTGAAGGTGATGCGAAGGTCGTCCTCGAACTCATGCAGCCGCTGCTCAGCTGCCTGAAGCTAAACCCCCACCCGCTTTGCAGTTAGATTAGATGACACCGCAATAAACTATCATAAACTATATGCTTGGCGTGGTAAGTCGTTCGAATCTGATGGTGCCTGTGGTAACATCGGTCCACGCACGCCCTCTACTAGCTACGACTGCGAAGGTCGGTTACCTCCCGCGATTGCGTGCATGTGCAACTCTGCCACAGGTGTTTGTTTCTGAAGTGACGGCTGCAACACCCCAGTGCCTCACGGTGCTCTGCACCGAGGACCTGCTCCAGCTCTTCGAGTAAGGCCTGCATCGGCTGAAGTGTTGCAAATCATTCTTGGCGAATCAAGTTTTTGTGGCTGTCCGCTGTGCCTTTGGCTCCTGACGCCGCAGGCTGGTCTTCTCAACCTACCCCAGGGCTGATCGCACCGGCCAGGCGGCACATCTGTAGCATTCCGCGACAAGTCAGTTGCCAGCTATTTCGTGCTGATGGGAAACACGGCTTTTTGCTTCAGTCACTCTTCGTCTTACGCCATGCAAGGGCAGGCACAATTGAGGGCAACCAGCCTTCTTCCTTCGGAAAGCATGACCTCCTTGTGCGAAGAGTAGGGCCACCAAGACGCACCTGCAAACGCTGCTCAACAAGGAGTGAACCAGTCACCAGAAGCCGCAGGAACGACACTGACATGAATTCTGTGGCTGTTGCCGACAGGCGCCTGCTGACCAACTTCATTGTAACTGCTTCAATCAGACCTCGGCTTGATAAAGCTTCTGACGAAACCAACCTTGCACAGTCTTCTCGACCCTGCAGCTGAGATCCGTACCGAAATGTTTCTTTTAGTGGACCATGAAGGGATGACTTGGTCCAGCCGTTCGCTCGAGCCGAACAGCTAGGAATGATCAAATTGAAAGTCCCCGGCCCCCGATCCCCCAAGATGCCAAGGGCAAACACAATTGCAATACATCTGCCACATTGCGTTGACGTCCGTCGCAAGAGCGGATGCGACGAGCTTCGGAAGTTTCGGGATGGAGGGACGAGACAGCACCGATGCCCTGGGCCCGGGCTCGCAGTCGCTCCAAGACTTGCTCCAAAACCTGGCTGGAGAAGGCGGACAAGCTACGGGCTTTCTGAGCCTGTGCTGCTGTGACTTAAACTTAGGCGCTAGAAGCCACTACCGATACAGTAGAAAGTCTAGAGTCTAAACCGAGGGTGGATAGAAACGGCGTTGCAATGTCGAACCTGCGGTCGAAGTTTGCAGGCGCAGCCTCAGTGCCGTAAGATAACAAAGGAGGAGCACGGCAATCCAAAGCAACTGTAGCAGTACACGATCATGCCGGGACGTGTCATGCCATGCCATACAAGTCTCGTGTGATCTGAAGTACGTGCGGAAGCGGCATCATTGGCACTTTCAACCTGAATCAAGAGGCCTCACGAAGAAACGTGTCTCATCCCACAGCGGCTAAAGCCTCGACCTCCACAACTCACTTTCCGGCACAGCAGAACCCGCCGTGATGACGGCGACACCCAGGCTACACAAGTCCTTTTTTCAGCTCTTGCCATCGGCAGCACTGCCGAGATCAGCGTGAGTCTGGAGCTCCGTGCCGCATGCAATTGAGCATGACCAACGCGTACACGACGCAAGCCTTGGCGACATGGATTGCCTCCCCGCTCAGACTGGAGCCGCAATGCACGCAGTCCAGCAAAGAGTAGCTCCGAGCCCTTCGCATTAGACAGTTGCACCTTCTGCAGCCTTTGTCTTCGGAAAATCCCCGGTCAAGTACACGACCTGGGCTCCGCAAAATCGGCCCCCTGCCCCAACACGTGGAGCCAGCTGGAATGGGGGAAGGGCCGGGAAGAACGTTTCCTCATATCGCTGAAGCGCTGTGTCTGTAGTGCGTTTGCATCCTGTTGCTGACTCACAGCTGCGGGTAAAGAAAACAAGAGTAAAATCGCTGCGTAGCAGTCTCTGCGGAGCGGCAAGCTCGTTCATCTGCTTGATGTCGGGATCCTGACACACGCGGCTTTGTGACCGATACAAACAAGCCACCAGCACCTTCAGCTGCTGCCACTTGAAGATACTTGAAGGATCTCCATACACTGCCACAAACACTTGCACATTTGAGCACTGCATCGTCCAGAAGACAGACTTGCTTAAGACGCAAGAAGTCCTCTGTCAGCGCGGGAGCGCTCAAGGTGGCCTCGAGGGGAGATCAGACATGGCCAGATATCAGGAATCTACGTATCTTGCAACTGTTGGCCGTGGCGATTCCATGCACACAATGCCAAGCCACGAGTCAAACAACTGGTAGCCTTTTTGAGCCTTCCGAAGAATACCAATGCCAAATGCCACACATGGCCCTACATCAAGCAGAAGTCATTGGTTGGTCCTGAACGCGGCTGACACCGCGAGCTGTAGGCTCAAAGCCGTACCTTGCTGCAGAGTGGGAACCCATCGGCCAGAAGAGATAGTGCTGAAGACAGGGTAAAATCCGGAGCGGGGCCTTATGTGCTCTTGCAGTGTCCTGCCACTTCAGATCTACTTGCACAACTTCGAACATCTCGTCTATATCTCCATGGCTCAGCTTTACTCGACCAGCTTACTCCTAGGTTGCCATCGTCGGCGTTGGACCCTCTTTGCATCCATGTCGCTTAGGAATGATCTCGGCCTTTCAGGGCAAGGCCGGGCACGACTGTGGAAGCTAAACTGTCAAAGGCTCGATGTCAGCAGGGACTTGAAACATAGGTCACATTAAAGTCTATGATGAACCGGCTTATCGACATGTCAACTCTCTTTGCAATGCCTGTGCCAGAAACCTTAGCAAATTACTTCAAATTACTCAGGTTTTTGTTCCTCAGAATAACTTAAGCCGCAGTCAACAAGTTGCCTGCCAGCAGTCTGTGTTTAGCGATAAAGTTTTGCTCCTTTCAGAAGCATCTATCCTGTCCCTGGAGCACAGCCTGTATGGGCATGCAAAGGCTGCGTCGGGCTTTCAAGAGGCGCATCTCCTTGGACGTCTCCCCACCCCGGTTCAAGTCGAGCGCAAACCACCACGAACCCTCTTCTAAACAAGCAGGCAGGTTCCGACAAACTTCAAAGCGCCTGTGAGAATTGTTGCTTGCATCCCTTGCACGAAGAATCTGCCCCCACTTCAACCTAAATGCTCAGGCAAAACGTGCCATGCCATGCTGTCTGCGAGGCATGTAGCATCGTTGTGGATGAGATACTGCTGGAAGCAGCTCACCTTGCTTCTGCACTTCCCTGCAAAACCAAGTTCACAACGACTCAGGCTGGCTTGCCGCAAAGTCACCATCTTGCTCTGAAAGTGATCGTCCTGGCGAAACATCACTTTCTAGTGCACGCAGCGTAGGCGTAGCGGGATAGCAGCTGCCTTTCTCAATACCGAACTTCGGAGATTACCACCATCGTAGCTGCGCATTTGTCTTTGGTCTGAAGAGTTGCACAGTGCTTCGCCGCGACAACGCAAGTCAACTGCAACTTTCACCGATTCGATTGTCATTCTTGTCGCATCGTCTGCTGCGAATCCGCAGGCAGTCCTAATGAGCCACAAAACCACTAAATCACTCATGCCTTTCCTGGCGTTGCCAAGAAATAAATGCTTGCTGACTTGCTCTCCCTCCCTCGGCCCTATTCCAGCAAACTACCCATCCTGGTAGCGCATGACGAACCTTGGTAAGCCCAATTGGCAATGCTGCTTCAAGAAAAGCTTTGGCAGCCAACTGCATGATAGCTCGCAGGTACTGTCTTCACCCCTATTTTCGGATGCAACCTGTTCCACGAGCTTGCCTATGTCTGAGCGATATTTTGCGCCGATGCCAAATGCCAGCTGAGCGACTCTTCCAGCATTCCTTCGTTGCATCCATTTCAGGACTGATTTCTGCTGTGATTAGCAGTCATTGGCCATGCTGCGATGTGATCAACTCTTGCAGAACTTGCGTGCAGGCAACATGCTGTAACATGCTTGCCAGAGCGGCTCCCCTTCGAAACTCAAGTGCAATGCCTTCTGCCAGAGTCCCCGAATCTCCTGAAACTCCAAAAAGCACCATGCCGACCCTTGAAGCCAAGTCCGATGGCAACAGCGTAGACACATCCGTGATGGGCTGCTTCTGCTTGCTGCTTACGGGCATTGCAGCATGTTTGAACATGTTCAGTTACAAGTGTGCGAGTTTAATGTGTGGGTTTGGTTAATAACACCCTTCTCCGCCCCCTCAGAATTCCAAATAACCGTGCACCGGAAGCGGAGCCAAGCAATTGGGGTGGTTGGAATGAATTAATAAAGACCAGTCATACAGGAACAGTCATGGCAAAACGTGGCCGCCTGAAAGTATCATTTCATGAATACGACCCCACGTTTTGCTTGGGCATCCGCGGACCGGTTACAGGCTTGCTGTCTTCCTGGAAGGCGATCGGCAGAACCGGGCCGAATAACTACTTTACTAGTCCGACCCCATGTGAACATTAGACGTTCCGCTTTTGCGTGCCGAGAAGCTCTTGGCGTCAGCCTTGGACAAGGCGGGAGGAGCCGCCACCTTCTTTGGCTCGACCTCTGGCTCCTTCAACCGATGAGGAAGGCTTAGGGGCTCGCACTAAGTGCCGACCGGAATGTAGCACGGAAGGTCGTGACCAGCCATGAGCTGACGACGGGTTGCTGCGCTCGCTCTGCGAAAGGTTGCAGTCTTGCTCGGTGAGCCTTCAGCTGTTTCTCGAATCGAGGCCAAAAGGCATTGTAGAAAATCATCTTTGTCTACCGAAGAAAGGAAAAAGGCTTCACTCCGAGGTGGGTGGAAACAATGACAATCCCGCTGTCCTTGCCCCTGCCGTTGTACCTTGGATCTTCATAAAGAGAGCACATCGAAGCTGTGACCACCCCGGAGACGCACATGCACACATGCGCGAGAGCTGTCTGCAGCACACGTGCGCTCGCTGACTGCAAAATGAATGCGGAACACCTTCTGCAAGCCAAGGTACGGAAAAAACTCAGAAGACGCTTGAACTCTCGAGGGCACTTTCAGCTTGCCACCCTGGTATCAACACGACTGCATGATGTTGCACACCGTTGTGTGAATTTGCACATAGATACTACGACAATCTGGTCGGCGGGCTCTGGCAAGCTGCTGCATCTGAAGGCCTGATGCCTCAAGGGTAACGACTCGGGCCCGCCTTGCACAGATCGGATATGAGCTGCGCTGAAGCCTTCGGTGTCCGCTGCTGCGTTGTGAAGTCAACTCGCACCTGAAGTCAAAGGCGTTGCGTCCAATGTGGAGAGTTTAAACCAACTTCTGAAATCAATAAACAGATTAAGCGAGGTTGAGATGTCTTCTGCAAGTGGAAGTAACTCCGGCAGTCTCACTGTGGGCACCCACTGCTGCAGCAACAAGCTCGAACCGTTGTGAAACATCTGGTGTACCAAGGCAAAATCTCCGAGAGGGGCGTTTCTTTTGCTGCCAAGAAAAAGATTCACAGTGAGCGGCGATTCCGAAGCGTTTGGCATAGCCAAATGCCCACTCGAAGTTGTCGAGCAAAGACCAAACCTCGAACCAACAGGACGTAACAAGACCTGAAGCACCTATGACGACCAAACGTTCTTCTTGCAGGATGCTTCACATAGGTCATAAGTGCGACTCGGAGCCAAATAGCCCTTGATGACGGCTCCGTTTGCCATGGCCTTATGATTTTGCTTGGAGGTTTCATTATCATGCCCAGGGCGGCAGCCTCAATCTTCCCAACATCCGGTTTGCTCAACAAGGTGCTTTGTGCAGCTGCGCAAGATATCCTTGCAAATACTCGACCCGAGCGGTGTCCTCAGCCAAGATGCAAAACTGAGACGGAGCCACAACAGATAGATCAATACAACACTGAGCTACACATACGGGATTTCTGCCCAAGCTTCTTGAACTGCCTCGGCCTCCGTGTTCTCTCGAACAGCGCAGCCATTTTCAGTTACCTGAGTTCCCGAGAACATCAGCGAATTGAGTTGTCACCGTGCCTGTATCATGCAAGGAACTGTTGCATGATGGATCTTAGCCACTGGCTCTCATTAGTCATTGTCAAGGTGCAAGTATGCCTCCCGTCGGATCGTATTCCTTCCTCAGGCCGTGGATCGCACCGTGAGAGCATACAAGACTATGAAGCACGTCGCTCGAACCACTGCGAATGGTCCAAGCTGAATCGTAGTGACATAGACAGTGAACTGGAATTTGAGGTGAGCTCGATGTAAGGATCGCACGTACCCACAAACCCGTGCGGCAAAATAGGCTGTAAGGACCCATGCCACACAGAAACTGCAGGCCAAGTGTCTGTATCCAAGACAGTAGCTTCTCGAAGCCCCATGGCACGATGTCCCAGCCCATGTCTGTGCGTTGCCTTCGGTTCCGTAGAACATTTACAGCGGGTGCAGTTTGGGAGCAAAGCCAGAACCGGCCATGCAGTGGCGCGGGGCACTTCTCATCCAAGCATATGCTACTCATGCACGAAGTAAACCACTAGTCTGGCTATCGGGGCACGACAGTCAGAATCCCATTCAATGACACACTGCGCCGTCAGATACTTTATCTGAGAACAATTTCGAAACGAGGCTATATCCGTTCTACACCGCTGTTCCATCTTCGTTGCGGTTGCGCCCGATTCTTGCTGTGAACCCTTGCCCACGAATGGCGCAAACGATTGATGTTAGCCCAAGCTCGAGGTCTTCGGGTTTTGTCAGTGACCTTTCTTAAGGATTCGGACGCCACCTGCAAATACCGTACAGCTCTACAGTGGCCTTCGCCGAATATCGACAACGCTTTCGCGAGATCTTCCCTCTGTTTCTACCAAGCTGCCATCGTGGATCTGACACGTTTCTGACATCCTTTGCACATGGGAAATGCTTTGGCACTAAACGAAGTTCTGATACCATGGCAAACGTTGCTGAAGTGCATGTTCAATCGCAACTCTGCCCGACAATGTCACATTCTGTTCGGGCTCCTGGTCGGCAAAGTAGTTTGGAACAGCTGGCGGCCCGTCCCTTGGCAAAGTGCAGATGTTCCGCTTGCTCTAGACCAGGATCACTCAATAACACACAGGAGTCTCAGTGCTGGCAGGCTGCTCACCCTGTGACACGAAGTCGGTGGAGTAGTGGTTAAGCCCAAAAAAGTCTGATGATCCTTTCAGCATCGCCACCTCCTGGATTCCACGAACGCAGATCGAAAGATAGGCAAATTACAGTTGAAAGCCGCGTGCCTCGTCGCTGAACTCAGGCAGCCGGTCTCCACAGCGTTCGCGCATCGTGGCTGGGTAGGCACCTTCACTCAACCAGAATTTGAATTTTACGCCGTTCGTGTCAGTGAACATAGATGACGGCAAGTAACAACAAAACTGATCCCGCTCACATCCAATCTGTATGCGGCAGGCCTTTGTAGATCGGATCGGCAAACCAACCGAGCTGCCAATCTAAAGCACCTCAATCTTTCGAGAGCACGGCTTGCTGCCATCACATCTAAGTGAAGATTCTGCCAATGCCTACCATGACATGACTCTTGAAAACTGTCGCCTGAACTCACAACCGAAACACGTCGCTGCGCGGCTTGGTCGGCAGCGCTGTCGCTCAAGGGCTCCTGAAGCCATTTTCTTGCCGCCCTGCCCCCCCCCCCCGACCGCCGGCGCAACGTGAAACCCTGGAGCTCCATAGTGAATCAAACTATGCTTTGCTGGTGCCATGTCTGCTAACCTCATTTTAAGACGCTCGAACACCGACACGGCCAGGAACACAAAATGCCCCAGCGGAAACAACAACCCAGGCCCTCGATTCCTTCCAGTCCATGTTCAGCGTGATACCTCCCGCATTGAAACCCGCCGCTTGACTGATTGTGCGCGAAGTGTCAAGCAAGTTCAACTGGGGAAGACTTTTTCAGCGCATCACATTTCCGAGACGAGGTATGCTGGGATGACACCTGGGCTTTGAGCTGAAGGCTCGGCCCCCACAAACGTGACATCCCAGTGACATTTGATTCGACTCCAGCGATCCCAGAGTGCAACGGCCGTCTAAGGCCCGGGTCTGACGAGCAGACACTGACTCCGGCAGGTTGCTAAGCAGGGAAAATCTGCAAAAAAACTTCCAGGTTTGTGACACCTTTGAAACATGCTAGTGTCGTGCAAGATCCAGTGTGGACTGTTTATGACTGTTTGCTTCACTCTCCGACACTTGTGCAAGGGAGCGTGAGGCAACGTCTAGCTGCTAGCTTCGGGTCAGGTGTTAATTCCCAACTTGCCACTCACCCTCACTGGCTTGGTCATTAGCAAACCCTACAGGGCCAAGCCCCAGCCAGCCACATCTGACTCGAGAGTGTCCGCGCCTGCCAGGCAATCAAACGTCCACTGAAGCACAAGGCATGATGTACTCATGGCGGCTCTCGGCATTTCCATTCTGGGAAGGTGGAGATGCTAGATCTAGAGCCGGTAGTAGGGCAGCACGGAGCGCAAGTTACATGTAGATCGAAGTCACAAGCTCCTCCAGAAAGCCAAGCCAAAGCCAACGGTGTGTAATACAGTATGTTCCAAATTCCAGCAGAGAGGAGCTTACAAAAGGAAGGTCCGATAAATTGATGTTCTGCAGTCAGTCGACACAGAACAGCTTAGTTGGATTTTCAACTCTGCTTAGACTTAGTTAGATAAGCATCCTCATAATGCCTCATGACCCAAGTGAACCTCAAACCAGACATAATTGCGGCGACTTGCAGCCCTTACAACTGGTCTGGCCTCAGGCAGTCTCCAATTCGACATGAGGCATGGGACCTCTCTCGTCTCCGTCGATAAGCTGCCTGGTTGCTGACGGCGAACAATGCCACTTGAAACATTTTTCCTGGTAATCCTTCTTGGTTTGTGCTGGCACATAAAGAGCTTACGGTTGTCGGCTGCACCAGCCAGGCCACTTGTGCGGTGCCACTTGAACCACTCCATCGGACCACTTGATAACAACGGCATAGTTTCCTTAGCTCACGCAATCCGAGCATACGGCCCGGTCCGTCAGGCCAAGCCTGGGCCAAGCTTGCCAGCTCCAGATCACCAGGCAAGTCTCCCATGTCCACGATCTCGTCCGGAGACAGGTCTGCAGGTGGTGGCGTCACTCCACCAGCACCTCTTCGGATCAGTCGCCAGGTGATGCCAGTTGAGGCGTGAGGCTTCGGGCTTAGGGTGTTGAGGGTCTCCTTCGCCTTGCATGGTCACGACATCTCAGCCTGACTCTGCATTTACATCACTGCATCATCCTGCACATTGATGTCGCGTTGGAAGCGCCGGGATCTGCCAGGCTTCCAGACTTCAGCCTGCTCGACTTCACCCCCTGTGCGCCACGATAGTTCACTTCCACAATCCAGCTCCCTCCCTCGCGCTCTTTACGCGAGCCCGTCATGAGTTGGGGTTGTCAACAGCAAATCAAGCGACAAAACAGAGAACATCTGGCTGCCTTTGTCGCGGAGCCGCAGCTCTCGTGGGTCAATGCCCAACTCCTACCGCCAGCATGTCAGGCGACGAGTCAAGCTACTCACCTGGTATCTGCCTTCATGCTTTCGACAGCCGCTCCAGCTCCATGGTTGCTAGGTCATTTGGCATCCAAGACGTATATACCAGTTACTAGTTGCTGCTCGAAAACACATACGAATCCTACGGATCCCAATTACAGAACCCCCTGTCCCAGCCGAATTCCACCAGCACCAGCATGACAAGCAACAACACAGGGCCACGCGCCGCATCTCTACCTTCACTGCTGCAACCAGCCGGAGCAGCAGCTAGAAAGCCTTGCATCCACCTTGGACTGTTTTGCTTCCTCCCCGCCCCGCTCCTCGCCGCCTGCGAGCTTCAGCCGGAGGATCCGTAGCTCACCTGTCTGAGAGCAGTGAGATCATTGTCTAAGGCTAACAAAACATTCCGCCAGTTGAGGAGCCATCCCAGGAAAGCTCCGGCTGCTGGCGGTTGTCGTGGATCTTCTCCACTTCAGTGATTACAGCCTCCGTCAGCCTTGGACCAGTAGAACAAAATCAGGCGGAGGACGACGACGAGAGACCTGTTTGACGGTGCGTTAAAACTTGCCACCTATGAAAGCATCGCAGGAAGCCATAGCGTCGCCTACGACACCTATTGCTTCGGAAGGTATGTAGTAGAGAGGCATGTTGGGGTGTCCGACTGGCTGTGCTGGCCCTCCGCTTTCTCGAGGCAAGGACATAACACATGTGGAAACGGTTCTGTTCTCAGGATCAATCACATCAGCAAGCACCAAGGAATACACGGGATGAGGGTTAGGGTCAGCTTTCGGTGACACAACATCAAGGTCCAAGGTCCAAGACCAAAGGCTCAGGAAGGTTCACTGGCCTATTCGCGGTACTCAAATCGCACGTCATATCAGCATGCGCTTTGGTTTAGAGTATAGTCCAGTTCCGTGCTGCCGGAAGTACGTCTCGAAACTTCACCGGCGACAGAAGTGCCCGCGCCAACACGTAACTGTCAGCGTCAAGTCGTCATCTCCAACATACGAGCTTCACTCAGCTACAAAGGCTGACTGTCTGCAATTAGGCAGCTTGTCCATTTGCTTGGCGGTCTCGCTATCACCCTTGTTGCCGAAAGGCTTGCCAGAGTCGCCTGGGCGTCAGCAAAACATGGCGGACTTGCCTGTCAGCGGCAAGCAAGCCTAAACACCGCAAGTAGTCTGGCCCTTGTGGGGTAGGCTAGAATGGCTAGAATCGGCTAGAATGCAGACCGTCGAGCAAATAGCGGCCTAGCAAGCTGGATCTCTAGAGCGAGACTCGCCAACCCTTGAAGTTCAAGCTGGCCCCTGTGATGCCGACATCCATCGGACAGGTAGCCGGCTGCCGCGACTGAGGCCTCGATCGGGAGCTCGAAAACCTGCTCAATGCCTTCGCAGATTTGTGGAAACCCGCATGGTCCATCTGCTTTCGAGACCACCGCTCAAATTGTTGTAAGATTGAAGCCCTTTTCTACTTGTTATAACACTGCTACTGCATCCAAGTAACCAAAGGTATCTGCAATGGCGTAGCCTGCATCCGTCTGCCCGAAGATGTACTGTCGCTCACCATTCGGCAGAGACATGTAGCCTGAGTTTGACATCATGCTACACTGCAGCGTTGCCGATGAGTGTCTTCGTAAAATTCAGTATCTACAAAGTCTATAAAAAATTTTGCCGATCGTACAAACTGGCCCCTACTGAGAATGTTGACTCACATCGCCAACCCTGCGTCTGCACCTGACTGGCCGGTACTTCTAGATTGAGCTCACTGCAAATCAGGCGCTCATGTTCTGCACCACTGCCACGGATGGAACGTTGAGCTGACTGAACATGGAGATGCCCCGCTCCACCTTCGGACGATTCATGCCATGGTCAGGCATTACCATCTTGGCTAGGACTGTAATCCGGTGGAGCAATTCAACATATGACAAGCCGCGTCGATAACACTGAGCTTCTGCGGAGTCGTGACGATCACGGCGGCAGTGATTTGGCAGACTTGTGAAAGCGTCAGGTGGATGTCTCCTGTCCCTGGTGGCATGTCCAGGACCAGGTAGTCCAGCTCTCCCCAGTCTGTCTGGGTCACCAACTGCGACATGACACCTGCAGGGTGTTTTGTTTTAGGGGTCTGCAGTGAATCTTCAGTGCTGATAGGACACAGCTTTCCTTAAGACTTCCGGGTTGTGCTGATGGGCATTGGTCGAGAAGGCACAGAGCGGATCACTTCGAACATACTCCCATGGCTGAGCAATGAATGTGTTCCGTGCCTGTCACCATCGAGCCACGCATCACAGCAGCATGTCCGACAAAGCCTCAATAGGAGCAGTCAAATTGGCGTTTGCCATTTGCAGACTCTGTATTGAACCTTTAGTCCCCTCTTCACCGAGAGTGGATGTGCTGGCTGAAGTCTGGCGGCCAAAGGAAACCATCTTGATGCCCGTGTTCGGATCAATGACGGGCCTGATGTGCTTCCTTAGCCGAATAGCCAAACAAAATGAGCTCAGACGTGCAGAGCAGATGCAGGTATGCTATGCAGACCTGATCTTCATTGCGGGACATGCGGTGCCGCTTAAGCCGCCCAGTGTCTGCTTTTGCTCATCCTGGTACATCTCCATCTTCGGTGTGTCTTCCTGTGGCTGTAGCGGACAGCTCTCGGAATTCAGCTCCAGGTGCGTTATTCTCTTCACAGCTTCTGCCAGTGGGCTGCCGCCTAGAAGCGCACCGGCATTGAAAGCCAGGAATCTCTGTGTGCATTTGTGTTTGTGTGTGTGTGTCGGCTATGTATCGTCTGCGCATGTAGCACGGTCCTGAAAGCGGAGCATGACTGGCAAGGAAGGGCCGTACACGTCGCAATCAAAAATTCCAACTTTGTAACCTGTCACGACACATCACGACATCAAGCCGGCAGATGACCAGACTCACTTGCACCCTTGTTCTATCCCGCCTTTCTGGTAGAGCGAGAAGGCCAGGTTTACAGCCACCGTGCTCTTTCCAACTCCACCTTTCACAGGCCCAGCTCTCAGCGGGTCTCGCAGGCTACGTACATGGTGCGATTGTGTGTGTGTGTGCAATGGGACAAAATAACACCTGGCCTTTGCAAGACGAGACGGCCAGGATGGTCCTTGGCGCGTCTGCGGAAACACCACTGCAGCCGGGTGCTGGAACGTGCATGAACTGCAATCCAAGTCTCTTCACATTCTTCAAGGAATCCGGCATCTGTGGCATAGGTCGAGGCGGATTTGTTGCGGAAGTCTGCTGGCGAACGGCCCCTGGGAACTGTGGAGGTTTCTCTTGCGGCCGGCAAACCGACTACACACTGGTCCTCGCCACCTGCAACGACAATTCAATTTGCGATAGCTCCCCGCTACTGCAGTTGAAAACCTGCCGAACACAAATCCCCAACGGCCTGCGGGGACAGGAAATGCTCCATTCAGTTGAGTAGCCAACTCGCACTTCTACAGACTTTGCCCAAGGAATTTGGGAAAGCCGCTCCTTGCAAGAGGGCAGCGGTAGGTCGACGTGGGCGGGGAAGGGTGGCTTTGCTACAACGCCTATGGGCCCATACAGGTCTTTTGGAACCTCTTGGCCCATGCCCAGGTCTCCTCGACTTCTGCCTTGTACATCTCCACTTCAAGGACCAAAGAAATATTTCCGGTGATGCGCTCCGCCTGATCACGTAAATAAGATCTTGCAAACAGTTGCAGTCCGGCTGCAATGAGCCAGAGAACTTTCGCACTGTTGAAGTGCCTTGATCTGACCCACAAATCCACTGGACACAATGTCGGTGCCCATGTCGGGATCCTTCACTTGCTCCAGCGCGTGCCTTGGATCATGCTTCAAGGCTTCGGCTCGCGGCAACCCCACTCTCTCTGTTGCTGGATTTCGCATTCATTCCATGCTGGAAGGGTCCACCGTCCACAAAAGCAGTCCCCGTCTTGTCAAGTGAATCTGCTCATGTGCTCAATCTGCCCATCGTACTCCAGCCGCGGACGGACGACAGTGAAGCCCAAGGCGCATCACTTCTTGAATCGGTGTAGGCCCAGCCGTCCCTGCGGCACGACTGACACCACGGCGCCCGGCACTTGAGTTCCTGTGCGAGCATCTGTCGATTTTTCAAGCAATCAGCGGTCGAAAAGCTACGGATGACTACGAGCTGCAGCTTGAAGCTTGCCTCAGGCCAGCAGCCAAGCCGGCAAAGGTTGCAGTGGCGACGCTGCTTCCTGTCAACTATACTTTGCGGGGGCGCAAGGAGCTTGACATTTCAATTCGACTCGGAAGTGCGTCCCGATTTCAGCTGCCAGGCTCTGAGAGTCTGAGAGCATCGGTCCAAGCTCATGCGATGCTAATAAGCAGCACGCACCGCCGGAAAGCAAATCAAGCACACAATCAGGCTGTCTCTCTTTAAGCATCGGGCGCAAGGACCCGTCTCGAGCGGGTGCCCCTGACAAGGATTCATGCTCCCACTTGCTCTCTGCACTGCCGCCAAGACAGAACAAGCAGGTCTGAGTGATCTCACATTGGAGCCAAGCGCGGTCAATTCAGAAGAGGAACATGTGCACAGCAGGAACTCAATAGAAAAGCGACGCCATTATGATTATGATGCCAGCTTGTCCCGAGGGCTTGCTTCCACCAGGAATGGCTGTGTGCCTGAAGGTGCAGAACGCTGGAGTCGCTCTGCCGCCGTGCCAGGCCTCAAAAGCTCACACTGCATTTACTAAAGACTGCTATCATGCATAACTTCGCATGATACCACATGCTATGAGCCATGAAATCGTGCAACACGCTGTTACGGAGTCATTTCCGCAGGCCGAACCTCCAAAAAGACACGTTGGTTGCCGCGGGACTCGATTCTGTCGGGCTTAAGCCACTTTTTGTCTTCTTCTGATGCCTACCAGGCCTAACAGTGTTGGGGGCACTCCGACATTCCAGGCGACAGTTGCGCAAAGACAGGTAACTATCTAAATTAGTGTCCCTTTCTAGGTCCCCAATGTAGTACGGCACCCTTCTAAAAAGGGCCCTAAACGGGACCCTACTTTGGAGAACCACCCATATGCGGAAAGTTAGTCGAGCTGTTACAGGGTGTCACCACGACTTCATCGACCAGTTTAGTTTAACTCATGTAGATCTGGAGAGCGGAACTGTGCTAGGATGAAACCTAGAGTCCTCTGCAGCGTCACGACTGGTCACCTACTCTCGGCAAATGTAGCTGAGGTAGACACTGAACCTGGTGAGGCCAAGGACGGCCCAAGCTCGCGAAGGCCATCCCCGACGCCATCGCTTTTTTAAGCCAAAGTAGTGATTTAGCGAGTCCATGTAATGAGGGGATCGGCTCGGTTGGCTTGCGGGGCAAGTGGCGTGGAATACGTGCTGCCGCAAACTTCGTTCCATCTTTCTGTCGCGAGACTGGCTTTGCTGATGGCATGCGCAAGCTGCCATGACTTCGTCAACATAAGGCCGACCGTTAATGCAGCGCGTTCCAAGTATGCGATAAAAACTGGCATCAGCCACGTCCGAATTAAAGTTTGAGCAAATTTGCGGTCATTGCGCGATCTGAGAAAGCAGCCCTTGTTCATGGCACTCTATTTCCCAAACTCAGCAGCGACATTAGACTGAAGCATCCCGCCTATGCTGCCTCCATGGATGTGTTGGTAGCTGTGACGGTAGCACTTCACAGCCTCTTGAGAAGGCCAGAGAATTGCCTACTGCGTGGTCCAGACCAGACTCTGACAGCTGCCACGTGCCATATATGAGTAACCGGCCTTACACTTACTGCTCAGCGCTTTTATGAGAGCTTGGTCCGACTGCTCTTCCTGCTCGACACTCCCTCTCAGTGCTTGCACTGTCAAGACACTCTGGCGTGTGCAAGAAGCATGTGATGGGCAGCAAGGTACCTTCGTGGCTCTGACAGGGGGGGGGGGGCTCAAAGCAGACTCTAGCGAGCTTGCAGCCGGGAGGGGTTATTCCACTGATGCTGTAGTGGGCATTGAAAGAACTCGAGCACTGCCCCCGGCACATTCGCGTTAGCTGCCTTAGCCTTAGCCCTGCAAGAAAGCTCTGTGCTTTGCCGTGCGGCGGCTCCTTTCCCGCATCCTCTCTGTGGCCCGGGGCATGCCTCGGTTACGGCGATGTGAGCAACTCGCTGACTCGGTGCTCGCTGCTCAGCCCAAGAAGCTCTCCACTGCCATATCCCAAAGCGCAGGCACACCAGGGCTCCTTAGGAGATGTTAGGAACGTCAGGCAGCTATTTTCCTGTGTACCGGGCTTCGAGGCAGCGATTCTCGGCAACTGGAATTGGGAAACTTGCTGCGACTGAACCGTCTCAAGAGACTAGTTGCGTTCAGCGTGATCCAGTACCTCACATCACCTTGGCTACAACTCAACACCGCCATGACACTCAGAACCGAGACAGGATCAAACTGGCTCGAGCGATTCTGACAGAGCTGCTGGCACCAGGTTTTACTGACCAACCCGTGCCTTGGGGTGATCTGTCAAATCAGCGAATAAATCTTTCCAGGACTTGGAAATGATCTGATTGCCTGTCGCGCACATGCGCAAGCTAAACTTGCTCTCGGACTGGTCAGTTTTTTTGTGTGGACTCCAGGACAACCTTCTTGCCTTTGCTTGTGCCGCCTCGCAAAATCTCGCAAATGGTTCGGGGCAACTTTTGTCTGCAGCACTTCTCCGACTGGCAGAACTCCAATGCACAGCTTGCAAGTATTTGCAAGTCTCGCAAGCTCTTCCCACTTCGTGCAAGGTAGGCCGAAGGTGGTGTCAGTTGAAACTAACAGCTAACAGCCATTCAGATTGAAACACATCTCATTCGTCTGTACACGAGCTGGCTCAAGTACTCATCTAACACCGACTGACAGCACTGGACATGCAGGTTTCCAAGCGATTCAGTCTTGACACGGCCATTCAGGCTCGCTCAGAGTCCCTCACAGAATCTCATTCGAGAAATCCGAAACGTTGATAGCGCGGTTTCCACACGCTTTTTGGATTGCTCCTCTACTGTGACAGCACGGATGGGCGTGGTGAGCTGCTGGCGGTGGTGGTGGTAGCGGCTAGTGGCTTGTGGCTGGCGGCTGGCCGGTGCTGCTGCTGCTGCTGCTGCAGGTGGCGGCGGCGGGTGGTTTCGATGACAGCAAAATTGCGGCTGGCATCGGCCCGACCAATCGTGAGACATGAGAGATGCCGCTATCTGCTGCTCTGCTTGCGCGTGCAGCTTTCACGGACGGGCTCGCTGCCATGCACGTGGCAGCCATTCGCAATCCGCCACAAGTTCCGATTACTCTGCATCGCAAATGGCACCACGTTGCTACCAGGAAAAGCACCGTGAAACCATTCAGTAAAACACCTCGGATTGAGAAGAACGTTCATTCTGCTCGATGTTGGCAGCGAAGCACCCAACCCAGTCGTGACCACAATACACACTGCAGTTCGCCATCCTGCGGCGCATGCTTCACAGAATGATGACAGTCGATCTTGCAACAGATTTCGCCGCTCCCCTTCGACCCAAAGCTCCTCTTGGCTGAGGCGCCTCAGCGTGGCCTCTGCGGCCTGGTGCCAAGGCGCTCAGGGCAACTGTAACTATACCTTCCGAGCTGGGAGATAGATACCGGCGGGGTCGAAACTCCACCCGGCAAGCATGCTGCGTCCTCGCACGGGCGTGGTTCCTGGAAGCCGGCGGCCGCAGCTGCACGACGATACCTTTCTTTTGTGGTGCTTGCAGTGGGAAGAAGCGGTTCTTCGAGCGCATGACACAGAAAGCACGGCTCACTCTGGGACCCACTTCGGCCTTTGCACTCGGCGCTGAGATTTGGCGCCACGATGCGACGTACAATGGAGACTCTTAGCAAAGAAAAGCAAAAGAGAATCAGCTTCAGAGCTTTTGTCTCCGTTCCGCAGATGGAAATCTCCATCCAGTGTGACACAGCTTCCAGCCACGGGGCAGCTCAAGCGACATCGTGGGAGCTGATCTCACCATCTAGGATTCGCCACCTTGTGTGACAGGCCAGGGTCGAACTCCAGGGCTTCACTCGAGTTATGTGTCAGGGTTTCACCTTTTCAGACCCCAAGCCTGAGTGTATAACTCGAGAATGCTTAATTCACCCCGGGCCGCACTTTCAAGCTGGCCTCCTGCAGAATCTGCTTTAGAATGATTCCAGAGGCGGACTTCCGATGACCGGCTCAGTCCATAACACCCTGCAGGATTCTTCTGTCGCTGTTCCAACAGTTGTTGAAGCTTCTGGAAAAGAGCCCTTCCCACGGACGCTTCTGCTGCTATCTGTTGGGTCGAACCCCATGTTTACCCACTGTGCCCTACTGCAACTCAACACGTTGGAAATCGTCTCTTCTTTGCTGCAAGGCGGCGGTCCAGGAAGGCCTTAAGCAGGGCAGGGACACACTGCTTTGGCAAGGCCAGGTCTCTCACATTTGCTGCCTCCTGCATTTCTTGACTGGGCCCGCTACACGGTGCAAAAGGGGTTCAAACAGCTACAGTACAAGCTACTTCTCGAAGATCTGCAGTAGACTCAATAGATGTGGTGGGCTAGGCTGAAGTGATCCTCTTGCATTTCCTTGCAATGGATGACCACGAAATCTTGCTTCAACGCTTCGCCTGGCCTGGGCTTTGCTAGGTGCCGGAACGAGAAGACCGTGAAAGTCAATGCGCCGCAGCGGGTGCACCTGTCATCTGAGGAGAGCCACAGGGCCGCTGCCCCATGAGCAACCCAACAGCGACGCCTTTGTTCCACACATGCAGCAATGTATGCAGATTCCAAAACCCTCACCCGCGGACCTTAACCGGACACTGAAATCCAAGTCATCCCAAAAACGCCTGTTCTGACCCCAGCTGACAGTGACCGTCTTTCGTCTCTTTGTGTGCGTCTGCAGCCGTGCAGCTCCTGACTACACAAGTCATTGCACAAGCTATCGGCAAGCTGCTCGCGCACGTTTCACGTACTGCTTCTTCTTTCCCTTTGCACCATAGCATTGCTCTGTCATTCCTATTTTTGACTTTTGCTGTGGTTTGCACGACTCACGCATGGCTCGAACGCGACTTTGAAATCAAGCGCTCTTGCTCTGCTCATCCAAATTGCCACTCACTGTAGCACGACTAACTCGTCATTGGAAACCTCAGGACGTATCAAAACCGAGGCAAGCTTGTGTTCCAAGCGCACTGAAAACAACGTACTGAAACATTTTTAGCACCCCACTCCTGACTCCTTGCTCTGAGCGACTGCTGTACAGTAAGGACATGATCTTGGGTCTTGAGACCTTCTGAGAGAATCGTCACTGAAGCGTGATCCGAAGCGGCTAATCGTTGACCGAAAAGCTGCAGCAGACAGAATGCCGAAGCAGAAAATCAATCGATAGCAACAGATTCCAAGCGGCTGCCACTGCGGCACACGGTCCTTGCAGTGGTAGTAATATGTATTGCCCTCCTGAGCTAGCGAGACATAAAAATGCTGGGAACATCCTCTCTCAGCACAGTGAGGCTAGGCCTAGAGGCGTGGACAGGAGGGGGTAAGGGAAAGGGGCGGAGTCCAAAGCAAAGGCCTCGGCATCCCAGTACTGTGTGCAGCCATCTCTCAGAAGCTATGCACGATCCCGCGCCCATGTGCCAGCCAAGAGTCGCTGTCGCAGGCACTTTCCCAGTCCGGAGGAAGCTGCCGTCTCCTGCTGTCTGGTGTACTCCCAAAAATAGCACGGCATGGGTTCCCCCTCAATTCCCTGAGGTGACTATCTGTCCAGAGGATCATCAAGGCTTGCGAGTTCCAGGCTTCTTGCAGATTCTTACAAACTTGGGCCAAGATCGTTGCAGTCCAGCTGCTCAACTTGCAGCCACGTCTTTGCTTCGCTGCCTCCTCTGTTGTCTGGGTCATCGGCTAGTTCTCGGTACTCGTCTGAGAGCTTGTTCCTTAGCTTTTGCGACTCGGCTTTCCGTGCTGAGCACAAGGAATGTTCACCCCCAGCAATCCTATCACTTTGCCTCATCCGTTGCACCCAGATTCACAAGTTGAACAACTAAGTCCTTGCCGATCCTTGCGTTGAGTACGACTTTCTCATTTCTTGCCGAGGCGGCCGCTTCTGCGTACTGGGCTCCGTCACCTCGTCAGCTGCCTCATGAACTCAGCAAGTTTTCGTACTCTTGAACCAACAACAGACACCAGTCGGAAAATGACCGGGCAAGGTGCGCAAGGCTCCGCCTCATAGCTACATCGAGGCGATCGATGGTCAGGCTCATTTGACACGTCCCTGTCCTGGCATTGACAGCATGGAGCGTCTGACTACGAGTAGTATCGGCATCGGCTCCCTACATAACTTAAGGGTGGCGGGGCCCAGGTCATCCTGATTTCTCGAGCTTGGGCAGTGAGCCGAGGATTTATCCCGTTTGTCCATCGGGTGGTACTCGATGCGCGCCAGCGTCACGTTCTCCACATACCAGGGGTGGTCTGGAGGATAATTCCTCGGGCAATTACGTGAATAGGATAGACAGGCCCAGGCCACCCTGCCATACTTGCTATAGGCCTACGAGCTACGAAGAGTACCTGCTGCCAGTGTCGAAGCTTGGAATCGAAACATTTAAACCATGACGACTGCAATATTTCTTGCACTGGGAAGATAGAGATGCCCTCTAAATGCTTCAGCGCTTGCATCGGAGACGGCAGAAACCAACTGATGACCTCGCAGAACTTCCAACACAAACACCGCTGTACTAACGGAGTTCCTAGGTCCTAGATGGGTGCGACACACATCTGATGATGTCACACTTGTTGCCATGTGTCTGGAGATTGCGGCGATGCTCCTTGGAACCTTCGGGCATCTCATGCCTGAGCTTGAGCTTGGACACGAAGTTTGTGAGTGAGCGAGTCGGTGAGTGAGCAGGACGCCAGAGCTCAAGATGGGTGATCCGACTCAGATGCCTCATGTCCGATTCCTGGAAATGCACCTAGCGTGAATGTCTCGGCGCGGCTGGGGAATGAAATCGTCGAGGCCCGTGACTTGTGGCTCCTGAAGGCCAAGATGCGTTCCTGAATGGGATGCGGGATCCGTCACCCAAGTGCCCTTCGGTTTGCCGCTCTTTCGACACAGAAGGCACATCAGCCATCTGGATCCGTCTTCCTCAGCTTCCACGAAAGCGTTTTCTGTGAGACCGTGCCCGAGGGCCACTCCGCCAAAGCCTTACGGGAGGCTCGTGCATTCACACTGCAACTGAAGCTGCTGGCAACGACACTGGGATGAAAACAAAATCTGTGCAGGACGGCAAGTGGCATGAGGAACATAGGCCAAGTATGGCAGCTCAGGTGTCTTGTAGCCTCAAGCTTGTCCCAACATGCTATCAGGTCACACTCCTTTAGATTACCGGGAACCCGTTCGTGCTCAGCCAGCTGCAACAGCAACCACTAACCACTGCACTCTATCCTCTGGTTGGCTGAGCCTGTGGCCACATGATTCCAGCTCTTGGGCCTGCGCGCAGCCGAGAAACAAGTCTAGTGCGCAAGTATAGAGGAGGCTGGAATGTGCAACAGGGGTCACCAAACGCCAACTGACGGCAACAGGCGACAGCCAAGTTCGGGATCTCTGCTCTCAAGATGTCCGGTCTCCAACCCATGCTAAGCCGAGGCCTCTTGCCAGCGAGCCAACCTGCGTGGAGCGTGCCATCCCACGCTCCCAACGGCTGCCGGATTGATTAAATACGACCGAATCCTTCTACAAGTACCTGCTCACAAGCTTCCAAGGAGACGAGAAATTTGCAATGGAACTGGCTTTGTCGAGCAGACGACGTGCGCGTTCTGCTTTTGCAAACATTTGCCTGCTTCCCGGCCTGGTCTTGTGAAGCTCTGTGGTTACATGCCTCCGCAGGTCCATGCGGAACTCAATATCAGGTTGCAGCCACCGTGTCTGCTGAATAACACGAAAAGCTTTCAGCAGTTGGCACGATTGGTACAGTAGCACCAAGTCCTGTGATGCCATGACCGGGCATCACAAAGCATGAGTCAAACATCCCCCAATGCACAAATCACCAACCAACAGGCTAAACCTCCGTGTCCAGCTCACCATAACTCGCCGTCAAGGCACAGCTCATCGACGATCTTGTTGCAGGGCTGGCAGCGCCAGCAACCACCGATGAAGACTCGCCAGTCCGGACAGCGTCTTTGCGCCTTGTCCTGAATGTGAGAAGCCAGGGAGGGCAAAGAAACGAACCAGAGTCGACGGAGCTTGGGCAATGTGGATGCAAGCACGTATGTAGTGCAACGAAGCTTGAGCCTGCAAGAAGATACCATTATTTGCTTCACATTGGCCCACAGATGCGCCCTTGTGGTATCGTAACGCCTTGACCGACCTCATTCTGCGTCGGAGTGTCCCTGCGCAAGCAATGACTCGACCATCTACGAGCAGCTTCGATCTGTCCTGGTGGCAGCTTAGCTAATTACTGAGGGGCCAGACGTGAAACCTGCTACGTAGACGCACTCGGCAACGTGAGCACAAAACACAAGTTGCCATGTTGCTTAAGCAGATGGACCATGATGGACCTTGAGGTGGGGGGGGGGGACCAAAGTGGGCGCCCCCCCCCCCCCGCACCTGAAACAATGTTGTCGGGACCTTGTTTGTGGTGGGGGGAGGGGTTATTGGCTCTAAATCAATCATTTGCAGGGGCCCCTGCCTTCGCCCCTTTGACTATTGTGAACGGACCAGATAAGGTCCTGTACGCAATTTTGGCATAGTTCTTTACTACCTAAGTGAATGGTAAACGGCAACTCCCGCAAGCTCCACAGGGCATCACAGAGCTAGCTTGCGTGAGAAGAGACAGGTGGGCTGCACATCACGCGACACTCCCGGTTTTCAATTCAACACATCCCCGCCCAAACAAGATCATCAAGATCGCAACATCGCACCATGGGCCTGGGGTTGCCCGAAATTAGGTGCTGCCCCTGCCTGGATTGATGCTGCTCGCCAGAACTCGGTCGGGACAGGTGCCGTGATCCACTCCTGTGACTCCTGTCTTTGGACTACGTGTCAGCAGCTCGTGCCGGCAGAGAAAAGACTTTTTGGGATGGCATGATGTTGTCTTGCTTGCAAACATCAGCAATTCTAGAGTCTAGAATGCGACCTGCAAGCTATGCCGTTTCTGCTTCGTGGGCATCTCCCTCAGGCTTTTGCTGGTTGTTGCCTATGGCTGGATGCCTTCCGTTCTCCCCGTTCTGGTGCCGGCATGTTGCATGCCGGCTTTGCACTCGAACTTTAGGCCCGATTCACGTACTCTTTAATGTGACAGAGCTATATTTCCATGGACTTCGTTCATTTTGCAAAGACAGTGCGCTGTCTGCGAAGGGCTTGATGACACAGAGTGTTGCTCGTGCGGCTGCATTGCATGCTCAATTTGAGTGTCCACTGTTCTCTGCTGGGACACTTCCCCGATCTTCCCTGCGCCGATGCAGGATGCGGATACAGGAGGGAATCGTTTAAGGACGAACCCAAAAAGTATCGCTTACTCCATGGCTCTCGCGATCCGTCATGACACGTAAGCGTGGTTGGCAACACTTGTCGAACTGGCCACTCGCCTCAACATTCCAACTGACCCCGCACTTGGATGTGGAAGCCCGCTCCTCCGGCAACGTGTCGCCGCTGCAGGTTCGTAGCTTGTTGGCACCTTTCCCTAGCGCTGGCACCTCCGAACAGGCTACGAGACTTGACACGGTCTTCATCAAAAAGCCCTGTCATTTCTACTCGCGGACCTCAGTCGCCTGGTCTCCGATCGAAGGGCGCAGCTTGTTTGCACCTTTCCTTGGTCAATCTCTCAATTTGGAGATGCTGAACAAGCCGAAGATCTTTACGCAAAGCCTTCCGTGAAGACTCCCGACTCTTTGTTGAGTTTTGTTTGAACGACTGGCCCATCATTCGACAGAGCTCCAAGCTCTAACGCAGGAACTCCAAGTTGGTGGGGGGCAGATTTGGACCACTTTGTCGGGGAGACTCGTATACTTTACAGGTTCCGGCCCAGAACTCCGTCACGGTCCGTCTTTGTGGCCCCAGCATCGGTCGTCCAACAGCCTCACCAGCCTCGCCGCAGACTCCCACGGCCTCGTCAGAACTGTTTGAACACCCATGAGCAAAGAGTTGGAGTTCAGGGCAGCCCTCTGCCTCCATGCTCGGAGCCAGGAAGTCCTTCGCAGCAAAGCGGGAAAAGGAGAAGTCTTCATGGCATGGCACCTGCTGGGCGGTCCTCTTTCCTGAAATCACCATATTCGGGTGTTTCGGATGTTTCGGACGTGCTCCTGGACAGGACAGCCGTTCTAAAGAACAGACTGTGCTGCTTGAAGAGAGGTTGTGTTGCCGCCTGTACCCGACGCTCTTTCAGCACTCGCAACGCTGCACAGCCAAACTCTCTTTCGATCCACTTGCCAGGCAACGGTGGCGTTCACATAGCATGGAATTTTCCGTTCAATACAAGCCAGGGGAGATGCAGGGACGCTAAGCAATGCTCAAGCTTTGCGACCTTTAGCGAAGGCATTTTATTTGTGGCGCATGACAGTGGCTGCCAGTAGAGCACAGAGCTTATTGAGTTTGAGATGTCTGCATGAGGTTTGGAGCTCCTCAGCTTGTTTGCTCCCTTTTTCGACATCGCTCGCCGACACGGATGCGCCCATCGGGCACATAGCTTGCCGATCGGTGACTGCTTGGCCAGTTTCTGTTTGGATCGTTGTAAGCATGGGGCTGGAATGAGACGGGTCTCACTGCTATAGGGAGCTCCAACGTGTTGTTGAAGCTGCATTCTGGCACTTCACCAGCGACCCTTCCTGGTTGAGCCAGAAACGGTTGCACCAATGACCAAGCCCCCAGGACATTTCTGGGATGGCACATGATATGCAGCAGACTTGCCTGTGTCTTAAGGTTGTTCAGGCGCGAAGCACAAGTATGAAAAGTAGGACATGGGTAGTGGCGCAAGGTGTACAAGTCCCCCGTCCCCACGCGCAAGACATCGTGCAGCCCCAACACCCCAACACTGAGATTCCCTGGCCTCGAACTCCGAAGGAAACCTTGGCTCCTGGGCGGAATGGAGCCGCAGCGCTCTGACAAACTTGGGTTGCTTGATGTGTTTGCCACTGCCAAGTCGCCGCCGCCAAAGGCTTCTTCCCCAGGAAGACGTCGAAAGTTCCAGGCAAGCGCTGCATCAGTGCTGCACACGGCTTGGAATTCTGTGCCTGTGCAATGGTGCTTGCAATGTTGCCCGGGTTACTGTTGAGAGAGACGGAGGCATGGCTCAAATTGACCGCACCCAAAGCGACAACAACTCAGGCAGTGAGCAGAACACGCCATTTCAATCCAGGGGCCTCATCGTGGCAAGCTTCGCAAAGCGCAGGATGGCAACCCATGGCTCAAGGGAGGAAGCCAAGTAGCTTACTCAAGCAGTCACCTGCACTAGGCCACCAGCCTTAAGCACTCACAACATGGTCGCGCAGCTTTGCCAATGATGGCATGCACAAGTGTATTCTCCGGCTGCTCTGCTCTGCGTGAATGCCCTTACAGCCCATGCACGGCCCTTTATACGGTCCGTATGCCTGCACTGCCTGCCTAGAAGAAGTGAGAGCTCTGTCGCATGTCAGGGGGTCGTTCACATTCTCTAGAGGACGGGGTCTGACCAGGCTCAGGTCGTGATGATGTGATCAGGCGAATGCTTGATTTCGTTTACTTCCCTTTTGCCGACACCCTGTGTCTGCAGGCCATCATTGGTGCAATTCCCACTGTTTTGAAGCTCCAGTAGAACGGACCTAAGCGAAGGATTAGCCGAGCCGCTTCCGAAGCAATCGAAGCACACGGATGCATAGTACTCAAAGTCATCAAGCACCTCGCAATGTGGCATTTCTTGTAAGGCGTGCGTGGCAGCTTTATCATTATCCCACCCCGAATGCTGAACGAGGGGAAACAGCCAATAAACACTCGACAAGTGTTTTTACTATTGGGCTCTTGCTCCTTTTTAACATCGGCTCTTGTGCAATCTCCAGAGTATCATCACCACACCACATCGCCAACCCCTTGGTGTTCACAAGACAGAGCCAACAAAAACATGCCAATGGCTTGAGAGCCAGGGGCTCGGACGAAAGCTCTATCTTTACAAGGCTAGTGACAAGTGACACAGAACTGGGAGAGACTGACAAGATTTGTGAATGTTGAGAACTGCCAGGAAACTGCATGCTCTGCATCTCGCGAAATGAGAAAAGAAGCAGCACTTACATGACGGTTGTAAGAGCCATTAGTAGGGGTCTTTGCCCTGTGCGGCTTCTTCTAGCAAAAGCGGCTCTAGAACGGGCGGTTCACGACATCGCTTGCACGGCAGATTCATGGTCCAATGTTGAACCCACAACATCATAGACAATGAGCTGGACAAATGCCCATGAAAGGTAGCGCACTCACAAGAACCCATGTGTCAATGCTGCCCAATATGCGCAAAGAATCTGGAGACACGAGCAAGCAGCTTCATCAGCAGCATCAGAATAGACCCGTTTCTCCCACCCAAACCTTGGCAAAAGAGACCAAAGCAAGACTCGACCGCTCGTCTCGTGGCAATGCGCTCCCGGCCAGCCCCAAGGGGGATAGCCCAAGAAACCATCGAAAACTCCCCCCTCCTCCAAACCCCACAAAAGAATCCCAGGGGCACGTTGAACAAAGCTCTTAGCCCGGGGGAGTTGTCGTGACTTTAGTTTTGCCAGGCGGGGATGTTTCCAAGTGTTTGTGCAGACAGTGTTTTCATGATAAGGGATGTGCTTCGTAAACAAATGTAGCGACTATCACAGAAGCGGCAACACACTGCATGACATGCTGGAACAGCCGACCGGGTTCTGGATACTGGCACAGTTCAGGAGGTTTGGGATAATCGTGTATGCTCTGACCAAGTCTGGCCTGGCGAGACAGCCATCCACCGTACCTTTGGACGGCAAGTCACATCAGAAAAGGAGATGCGAGCACAAGCCCCGCAGTCTGTCCGCATTGTCACATGAGCGACTTCTTGATTTTCACGTAAACTAGCGATTGGACATGTATCTCGACAGCTCTATCAAATTTATCATGATTTATGCAAATAAAAGATTGCATGTCAACAGGCACTTCAGTCTCTCGTCTTTGCTACTGCTGCCCATCGCTGCAAGAGAAGCTGCTTGTCTTCCAAGCATTGTGGAAGATCCCAGTGGTACAGGGTGACGACGGGAGTGATCCTCAGCACTTCACTTGGCCATGCCCCGCTCCTCCCTGGTCTTGCCAGATCACCCTACGGAAACGCAGCGACTTTCAGAACTGGTGCTGCAGAGTCTCCCACTGCTGCAGAGCCTTATGTCTATGAACTGGCGCTGAGGGAGATGCAGCTTCACGGTGCTTCTTGGCAGGGGGTGCAGGCAAGCGGCTCTGACAACAGCGACTGGTAGAAATCGACAGCTCTTTGGTTCGGTTTGCCCGTACCGGCTGGGAGCAACCTGGGGGGTGCATGCTGCATTATTGGGCAATGTGATGCCGACATCAATGCTCAAATCTAGGCAATCAAGCAGACGAAGCGACCTCGACCAGGAGATAGAGAAACGATATGCTTTCAATCCTGAGCTGAGTGGCGAATCTGGCGCCAAGTCGAGCTAAGGATGCTTTCATGCTATGCTAGCAAATAGTATACCTGTTCAGATCCGAAAATGAGCAGCTGCAGCACTGTGAGTCGGCAAACTACCCTGTTCCGCTCTGCACATGCGAAACAGTTCTTCAGCCAACCGAGAGGTGGAGGTCCGCGAGGCGCGGCGAGCCTCTGCGGAATCTGCGCCTAGACTGCGAATACTTAGGTTGAGGTGACCTTTAGACCTTTAACCGTCTGATTGCGGGCCAAGCTGTCCCAGGTCTTTCATGAGTTTAGCATCATCAGACCATCCTGAGCAAGTGGGGAAGGTGGTTCTTCAGCAGCGGTCCTGCGTCTCATTACTCCAGTATCCTAGTTCAATCATCGTTGGTCGACCTAGTTGGGTCCTGCCTACTTGCGCACAGTGTGCCAAAACGGTTACTAACAACCTCCGAGCTGCTGTAGTAGTGTTCACAAGCATGAGCTCCTGCACAAAAGTCTGTCTTCAGTCTCGAACCGCATGCCAAGCGTGCTTGCCCAATACCCCAACGAACATTCGTACGTTTGTTTTCAGTCGTGCAGTATGCTGGGGAAACTCCAGCTGCAGCACGTTGAGCGTCAGCTTCCACTTGCATGTCTGCAAAAGGACGGAACAAACTCCAAACCACGACTCTCAACTAGCAAGGGCTGGGCTGCTAAGACGTTCTGCATGTATACGATCATGACTGATTACGGGGAAGATGTGCTGTGCATGCCTTTAGCCCCTGTTCAGCAGCGTTTCTGCCTGAGGCAGTTGTTGGCTCTGGTTTACCAAGTTGTCCCTAATGATGGGTTCTGACGTCAGTTGCACGGTGTAAATTTCGACTGAAATCGCCGGAGGGCCGATCCATTGCACAATCGCGCTTCCAGCACCATACTGACGTGCGGTAGTAATGGCACCGCCGCTGCAGTCCGGTCTAGCAGCTGTGGTCTAGATAGAACCTAGAAGTCCCGTCGATCCAACGGGTTTCGGCATTTGGCGACAATCAGAATCGTGCTCCCACCGTGCCGGGATGAGCATCGCTTCCCACCACAGTCCAAGCGCGTTTCCGCCTCCTGCAATCGTGCTCCAGCCATAGTGTCGTGCAGACCGACTCTTCTAAGCTCGGGCTACCGACACAGTGCGGTTGTTCCTGGGCACAGTGCGGTTCGCATGGTGTGGTCTTGGAGGCCTAGGGGTGCTCCAGGATGGTTGGAATGCTACGTGCTGTTGAAAACAAACTGCCACGACTAGGCTGACTAGGCAACCGTGCTGCTCGCAAGGGAGCTAACACATTCCCTGCAGAGTCGCAGAGCAATCCATGGCATGAAAAAATGAAATTCCACGTCGCCTGACTTGAGACAATTCTCGCGTTGTTAATCTGCGCATACACAAAGCACATGTTGGAAACCTCTCGAATCACAGGAAATTCACTAGTCCGGGATACATGGCATCAGCATTTTGACGCGCGAGGATGGCCCATGGTCACGGGTACTGTTAAACTCGGACTCTTCTGCCGCAAACGCAGAACAATCTCGAGGATGCCGCGTATTCAGGGCACAGCAGCAGTCGGGTGTCAGGAAAAGCTTGGAGGGCCAGCTACTTGCAAGTGGATGCCTCAAGCTTGGCTGAGATCTTGTCACTGACACGGTTGCTTCACCATTCATGCCACGGCACCTGAATCACCATTGTGCACTTTCCCCGGGATGGAGCAGAACGTGTCCCAAATGCTAGGACTTCGTCCCTCCTTGTCTGCCTGCAGTACACAAACTCAGACTCCCAACCCAGCACCACCGAGCCCAGTCGCCTAGTGAAGTGCTCCTAACGCACTGGTAGACTTAGAGCCTGTAGCTTGACACTGCCAAAAAGGATTACGCTTCCCTGAAGAGGACATGGATGTCTGAACTTGACGGCTGAGACACTGCACCCTCAATTTGATACGCAGCTGTCGCTGCACCCCAAAGGAAGTCGGCCGGGAATGGCAACATTCTGTCATCATTGACCTCGAGAGCATTTGATTCGTTTCTGGGCTGTGGTCAGCCATGAAAACAGACTCTGCACGCAATACCGTAATTACTCCGGTGCATAAAGATGGTGGCATAATGTTGACGACAACTCTTGCAAGACTTGATAGCACAAAGGTAGTTTGCTGAGCCTTCGGTCCTGCCTAGCCAACATAGAACCCCCTTGGGTCAGCTCAGCGGCGTTGAGTAGCGTCACCTGGCTCTTAGCGCAACTTGTGAGTGTTGGAGCGACTGTCCGGAGCGCACTGCTCTCGCGTCTCGCGGAGTCTGCTCCACATGGGCGCACGTGCTCATGAGATGCAGCCAGAGTGCGTGGCTATGTACAATCTCTTTGTTGAACAAAGTTGTCAGGACACCTTGGCTGCATGCAGTGGCACACAGGCCCCCGGCGCTTGTCGCGGCCCTACTCAACTACTCCAATAGATGCATGCACTCGCCGGCACCCGTGAGGGCTGTGGACCGGCTTACAGCTTCACTCCGGGTGGTGCCGCCAGGGCTCCATTGTTACGAAACCTGAGAGCGATTGACTCCATGAATGAAAAGTCTTGGCAAGTTGCCCTGAAGCGCCGGCTTTGACACAACTCAGGCGACCGAGTTTACTCAGAAATTCAGACAAGCAGCAGTACCTTGGTGCCTGCCACAACACCGAGAAAGTGGGGTGGCCCTGCCAGCAGTTTTTTGAGTGCAGCCACCTCAGGCAGGGCTCGGTTCCTGATTTCCGTGCTGCAGAACTCGTGATGAATCATATCACTCCGCTATTTCATGTCGTCGTTCTGACATCAACTTGTGCTGGCCCCTTACCTCAGTAGGCACATTTAGGCAGCAGAGCACCGCGTGCATCTGATTCAAAATTGATGCCAAACAGCTGTTGTCTTCTCGGACACTTCGAGTTCCAGCACCCATCCCTCCTTGCAGAGTTTTGAGTGTAATGAACACCAGGCAGCAAGTGGCTGAAGGGCAAAAAATCGTAAGTCGTGACATGTCGTGTCCTGCGCGGCCCGAAGCTTGAACTGCTTATGATCCCGCATCTTCCGAAACTCCCCAAACTCCAATGGGCGCCGGGGGCAAAGGCAGCAAACCCGAATCAACCTGCCGTCCGAACGGGAAGGGCGCTGTGTTGAAAGGCAAGGGAAAACGTATCTGGCGTTGCAATGAGCCAGAGTGCAGATCGAAAGCCCTTTGCAAGTTCCAGTACTTGAAGCGAGAGTCGCAGTTGTCCGCCGTCGAGCTGACCGTCACCCGCATAGCTTTGATGCGGCATTGAGACAGTCGAAGCGGGTTTGGGTTGCTTGCGGCTGGATTGTGCGGACTGTGTTTGCCTTTGTCAGATGCCCCTTCTGACGTTTGGATTGGATCTTCAATGCCACTTTCGTGAGTTCAGATAAATGGGCCGGCTTCCAGCCGCCGGGGGCATAATCATGGGTTTTGACTGGTCTTGAGATGTCAAGGAACGATCAGCTCTGCTGTCTACAAGCGTATCTACATGTCTTATTGCCTTGCCTGGCCAACAGGCTGGCTGTAAATCCTGCGGCATGCACAATCGCAGAAATGGGAGTATGGTCGAAACGCAGGGTTTAAGGGCAAAATGACCCAGTGCATCTCGTGTATCCTGCATGCGACAAACGTCCCCACCAGATCATCTCAGGAATCCGGAACAAAGAACAGCAACAGCTCGTCTTGAATCTCGAAAGGGACAACACACGCAGTACGTTGGAGAAGTGACTTGCCGTGCACACCACTACTGTATAATTAGCTGCCTTCAAACGGACCAAAGGGTCAAAGCCAAGCAACCCATGCCGTGGGTAAACCGTGTGAGCTTCACGGAGGACGGGTCCATCTGCAGAGGAAGGAGCTCGACAGACAACAGAACTCTCTTCTACAATCCCTCGTTCTCTCTCATTGTGGCTGCAGTGGCTTGAAGGGCGCATGATTCCTGCTGGTCAGGCGACGTGGTCTCGCTAGTCTCGGGATAATCGTTTCTCCCCCGCAATAAAAACTCCGACAGTAGTTGATTATTAAGGGGTAGTTTTATCTCAACTGCCACTTTTGGAGGGTCGTGCTCTTGCTCCTGCTTCTGCTGTGTCTCTTGCACCTGCTCTTGCTCTTGCTCTTGCTATTGCTCCTGCTCTTGCTCTTACTCCCGCTCTGCTCTTGCATTTGCTGTTGCTCTTAAGCCTCGAAACCCTCGACGTAATTCACAAGAGGTTTTAAAGGGCAGGGATGATTTCAGGATTCGTCCCAATGCGCTTTGATTATTAGGGGTGTGGGAAAAAAAAAGAGGGAAGAGGGAGAGGAGCTCTGTGATTGCAGCCTGCTTTCAGTGTACAGTGTACAGAGCGGCATTACTCGACTTGGCCTCCTCCAAGTCTCTGTCAACATCATCTTGGGCCTCCGGGCATGTGCATGAAAAAGCACTCCATGAGGTCGAAACTGAAGCTCAGAGAAAGCATCATGCTCCTCGGCCCCATTCTCCGACGGCATGAGCCTGACATCTTCAGCTTGAAGCTGTGCGGGCCAAGTTGTAGCTCGGGTACTGCGCTGCCGTCGATAGGGCTCGCGGATCTTGGATGACAGTCGAAGCGGAACAACCCGCTTCGACTTGCTACAGTATACAACAGTCCCACGGGAAGTGTTTCGCAGCAAGGCTCCTGACTCAGAATGAGCCAGACAAACTTCTGAAAGTGTGCAATTGGGAAGGCTGGCTGAGGCATCAAAACCAGCAGGAAAAGACAGTCGCCAGACTCGCCCGCCTGCACACTGCGGACGCGATAGTCAAAGCAGCCCGGTCGATCTGCAAACAAAGGGGCACAGAATCCGCTCTGGCAGGGCTAACGTCGTAGGGCTTGGGCATCGTCACAAGCCACCACTTACAGAACCAAATTAAAGCGTTTTTCCTCGCACATTCTTTGCTTCTGGCCTAGGCCCAGGCTGCTTCCGTGCCAGCCCGGAGCATTTTACGACGATCCGTCCAGAGGCAGCAGGCTGGGGAAACAAACTCGACAAATTTCCCATTCCCCAGCCCCCAGGCCAACCGTACCGAGGAATACCTACTGGCGGAGTATGTGGGAATTCACTTCGGGAGCTGGATGAGCTTACCGTGTCTAAGCAATTCTTAGCACAAATGTGCTCTCCAAGCCACGGGCGGCAGGCTCTGTCATTTCACGATAGGATGCATGGGACGCACAACGTCGGCTTAAACTATGCGTACTAACTACTACACCCCCTCTCACAGTCTGCACCTCGGCA